CTGGTCTCCCATGGGGTGCAGGGCCCAAGGACTTGGGCCATCCTCCACTGCACTCCCTGGCCACAGCAGAGAGCTGGCCTGGAAGAGGGGCAACCAGGACAGAATCCGGTGCCCTGACTGGGACTAGAACCTGGTGTGCCGGCGCCGCAAGGTGGAAGATTAGCCTAGTGAGCCGCGGCGCCTGCCAAGAGGTTTTTTTTTTTTAAGATTTATTTTATTTATTTGAAAGAGGTGCCAAGAAAGCTGGGGAGAGTCAGTCATCCATCTGCTGGTTCACTCCCCAGACTGCCAAAATGGCTAGAGCTGAGCTGATCCGAAGCCAGGAGTCAGGAGCTGCTTCTGGGTCTCCCACATGGGTGCAGGGGCCTAAGGACTTGAGCTGTCCTCCACTGCTTTCCCAGGCGCTTTAGCAGGGAGCTGGATTGGAAGCTGAGCAGCTGGGACTTGAACTGGCGGCCATGTGATGTCTGCACTGCAGGCCAGGGCTTTAACCCACTGCACCACAGCGCCAGCCCTGAGAAAGTCTTTGAAAATTAACATAGCAGAACCAAGTCTCAGCTTGAGTGCATTTTCACTTGTAGTGCAATAAAAGGATTATTAGTTTTATTCTCTACCAACTGGGGATAAGATACACTACCTGCCACCCAATGTCACTGTAATCATTGAGACACTGACAGTAGTTGCACATAATTTGCTCAAAAGTGGTCACTACTATGGTGAACTCCATTATAAATTTTATTTTAAAGATTAATTTATTTGAAAGAGCTAGAGAGAGAGGTAGAGACAGAGAGAGAGGTCTTCCATCCACTGGTTCACTCCCCAAATGGCCACAACAGCTAGGGCTGGGTCCATCCAAAGTCAGGAGTCAAGAGCTTCTTCTGGGTCTCCCACATGGGTGCAGGGGCCCCAGCACTTGGGACACCCTCCCCTGCTTTCCCAGGCACATTAGCAGGGAGCTGGATCACTAGAGCAGCTGGGACTTGAACTGGCACCCATATGGGATGCCAGTGCTGCAGGCCAGAGGCTTTAACCCACTGTATCATAATTTTTTATTCTAAATCTCTTATTAGAAAAAAAAAACATTGCTTTGGTCAATGTAGACATGACTAGGTACCTGCTAAATGGAATAAAACCAATTATGATTTTTACTTATTTTTCCCCTGTAACTATTTAAGGAAGACATATTTAGATCAGAGCTATCAGCTTGAGAATGTATTTATTCTAATAAGTAAAAATCATCTTAACGTTTGGTAGAGAAAAAAGTTTTTGGAGAAACTTAACTATGGTGAGAAAAACTATTGGTTCTAGTATCAGTTGTAGCACCTTTCCAACTTGAGCATTTGTCATTAAAGTACCTTTATCCATGAGAATGCCTACTAAAACAGCAATACACACAAGTCTATGATTCTATACCCTTGCAGCCTGATAAAAGGAAAGACAGGTGTATAAAATGAATCTTGCCTACAGCACTGATTCACTGACTTGCTTGAACAGGTCATTTAGCTTTTCTGAGCCTGAGATTTTCCTGGTCTGGACTGATTATCTCCATTACCTGTCTCACAAGCCCATGTGAAAGTGTTCTCTAGCCCTCCCTGAACCAGAGGAAATTCTTCTCCTTGCAAACTGATCAGAAGCCATCAGATGTACTTCTTGTTCACCCTGAGAATGTGATATCCAGCAAAGAACTTAAAAAAATTGCAAGACAAGCAGATGTGGAATTCATCATGATGGGATCTGACCTGCAACCACATTATAAATCCTTTTTAAATGGAGAGCAACAGCAGTGGAAAACCAATTACTCAGAAGCATGAGCCAAGATCTCTGTGGAATTACTTCCACAGTGCTCTCACACTCCTTCTTTAGTCACATGGACTATGTGCTTTTTTTTTTTTAAGATTTATTTATTTGAAATTGAGAGAGAGAGAGAGAGAGAGAGAGAGAGAATGAATCTTCCATCCACTGGTGCACTCTTCAGATGGCCACAATGGCCCACACTGGGTCAGGCAGAAGCCAGGAGCCAAGAGCTTCATCCAGGTCTCCCACGTGGATGGCAGGGGCCCAGAAAGATGGGCCATGCTCCTCTGCTTTTCCCAGACTACTGACAGGGAGCTGGATCAGAAGTGGAGCAGTTGGTCAGGGCCGGCGCTGTGGCTCACTTGGTGAATCCTCCGCCTGTGGCGCCAGCATCCCATATGGGCGCCGGGTTCTAGTCCCGATTGCTTCTCTTCCGGTCCAGCTCTCTGCTGTGCCCCGGGAGGGCAGCGGAGGATGGCCCAAGTGCTTGGGCCCTGCACCCCATGGGAGACCAGGAGAAAACACCAGGCTCCTGGCTTTGGATCGGCGCAGCGCTGGCCATGGCGGCCATTTGGGGAGTGAACCAGCAGAGGGAAGACCTTTCTCTGTCTCTCTCACTCTGTCAAATAAATGAATGAAAAAAAAAAAAAAGTGGAACAGTTTGGATACAAACCAGCACCCATATGGGATGCCAGTGTCACAACCCACTATGCCACAATGCTGGCCCAAACTATGTCCTTTTTTTTAAGAAAACTTATTTAATAAATTTCAAAAGTACAACTTTTGATTATAGTGGTTTTTCCCCCCATAACCACCCTCCCACCCACAAACCATCCCATCTCCTACTCCCTCTCCTATCCCATTCTTCATCATGATTCATTTTTAATTATCTTTATATGCAGAAGATCAACTTAAAGATTTCAACAGATTGCACCCACACAGACACACAAAGTATAGAGTACTATTTGAAGACTAGTTTTACCATTAATTCACATAGTACAACACATTAAGGACAGAGATCCTACATGGGGAGTAAGTGCACAGTGACTCTGGTTGTTAACAACTGGCAATCTTATCTATGATGTCAGCAATCACTCAAGGCTCTTGTCATGAGTTGCCAAGGCTATGGAAGCCTCTTGAGTTCACAAACTCCAACCTTATTTAAATCACAAGGCCATAATCAAAGTGGAAGTTCTCTCCTCCCTTCAGAGAAAGGTACCTCCTTTTTTGATGGCCTGTTCTTTCCACTGGGATCTCACTCACAGAGATCTTTGATTTATGTCATTTTCGCCAGTGTCTTGTCTTTCCATGCCCGAAATACTCTCATGGGCTTTTTAGCCAGATCTGAATGCCTTAAGGGCTGATTCTGAGGCCAGAGTGCTGTTTAGGGCATTTGTCATTCTATGAGTCTGCTGTGTATCCTGCTTCCCATGTTGGGTCGTCGTTTTCTCCTTTTTAATTCTATCAATTATTATTAGCAAACACTGGTCTTATTTCTGTGATCCCTCTGACACTTAATCCTATCTTTACAATCAATTATGAACTTGAACTGATCACTTTAACTAGTAAGATGGCATTGGTACCTGCAAACTTAATGGAAATCTGGAGTCCCATGGCACATTTCTAGCTGTACCATTAGGGGTAAGTCCCAGACTATGTACTTTTACATGAGAAGATCCTACATAATTATTATATAAACTGTACCCTCACAAGTGTGGTTTTACTGAAGGGTCTGTACTATCAGCCTTCTTTGCTTAAGTTACTTCTGCCTTACCAGTTTGCTGTCACTCATCTTTATACTTGACTGAGAACTGTTTTCTCCCATACCTTCTGTACTAAACTATTCTGTAAAATAAAATATCTATTAATACATACTGGAAACCCTCAGAATCCAACTCTCATGAAATACGTTTAAGAGGTGTGCAACTGCTACTTTTTCTCTATGCTTGTTCAACTCTATTAAAAACATTAAGTCATTTGAACTCTAATCATTTTTCTCCTGAAAGCCACAGTAAAAATTAGAATGTATCTCTAAGACAAACTATATTGTTGAAGTTGTCACACTATTAGCATCTTTATATAACCGCTTTTAGGTTACTAGGTTTTCTCATGAAGTTAGGGTTGGTCTACATAATCATCAAAGTACTTTAGTGTGTCAATAATAGATACTATAAGACAGATGAGTGTCAAGCCTCTCCAATTATAAGTATTTGGCCACTATGGGCTGCTATAATTAAGAGTCTTTAGCGTTCCTGAATATCTTCCAATATTCAAGACATATTAATAACTGCAGATGCCTAAACTACTTCTGAAATTTAACTTTTTGGGACTGGTGCTGTGGTATAGTAGGTTAAGCCTCTACCTGTGGCACTGTCATCCCATATAGGCACTGGTTTGTGTCCCGGCTGTTCCTCTTCTGATCCAGCTCTCTGCTTGTGGCCTTGGGAAAGCATTGGAAGATGGATCAAGTGCTTGGGCCCATGTAGAAGACCTAGAAGAAGTTTGTAGCTCCTGGCTTCCGATTGGCTCAGCTCTGGCTGTTGTGGTCATTTGGGGCAGTGAACCAGCAGAGAGAAGACCTTTCTCTTGTTCTCTCCCTCTCTTTCTGTTAATTTATCTCTCAAATAAATAACTAAAATCTTTAAAAAAACACATTTTAGCAAGAAAGTTAATTCTCAGAAGTTTGCAAATAAAAAGCAAATATAAGACCTTCACTTTAGGATCTTATTCTGCATTTTGCAACACATGTAATATTCTACAGAGCTGCACAGTGTTAGAAACTCTGAGCACATCTTTTTTCCAGAGCTCACTTTGCTTAACATGACAAAGGAATCTGGAGACCTGGGATTCTTTTCACCATTGCTTTCTTTATAGTGCTATTGCAATGATCTGCACACAAAAGCTTAATAAATGTTGATGATATTCAACTGGAGGGGTTATATGTAACATATAATTTCTTGATATAGTGTATAAATATTGCATAATGTATGGTTTCAAAGTCAAGAACATTTTATTCATTGAGGTAGATAAAAATACAACTCAACGGTAAATCATTCTCAAGTATCCACATATCATGGAATTTATAATTTTAAATTTATGCTGCCAATGTTAAATCTTTATATCACTTGTGTCTATTCAAGTGGTTTTCAATGTTTAGCATACTTACCAAAGATTTGTATTTAACCAAAATAACCATTAAAAAGATATAAGGAAAAATAATTCATTTTATTTCTTAAATGCCTAAATATTTACAATAAAATTTTCCATGCATTATATAGCTTAACAGATATTATACTTTCACATTTATTAAAATTAAAAATCTTAGGAAAATGTAATTCAACCACTTATAAAGAAATTACTGGCTGATCAAAAACATCAGATTACTATATTAGCCCATGATTTTGCCATAATCACAAACAGCATTTAATCATGAATACCATCATTTTACTTTTAAAACTATACTTATAGCATTGAGATTAAAGTCTTTATCAAGGCAACAAGACTTTATTCCAAATTACAGTCACATATGGAAGGTAATTTTTAATTCAAGGTTTCATTATGGTCCACAGTATAAAGATTATTTTCATGAGGGTCACATGATGAACGGCCACCAAGGAAATATGCTGGCATATAGCAGTAGATTGCCCACTAAGCAGGCACTGAACCAACGGACTTCTGTGGGCCACGGGAAGTTCTTGATTATTGCCAGCTCTTTTAAAATAGTCAGGTTCCTAAAGGTCACTGAACTTTATAATTATCTCCAAACAATTTTCTTCATGGTCATCTGAGCTTTGTCTAAACAGCTGGGTATGTTGCCAAGCAACATCACCATCTCCTCCGCTTAATTCTGCCTCCAAAATAACTTCAGTGGCACCAGAAAAATCATGATAGGAGTGAAGATTTTTATCTGTTGGAAGGGAGAAAAATTAACACTTTACTTTCAGTAATTTAAGAGACAGTTTTAGTCCACAGTTTATATAGGCTATCTTGTAAGTTAAAAACAACCTTAAAACATTATTCTTTATGGAGAAAATATATCTTTTGAAGCTAAGAAATAATTTTTCTCCTTGCATGTGTATTCCAATACAAAAATCATCAGCTCTTCTGTTACAATGAGGTTAAACAGGTTTGTATTATTTCTTTCTTTTTCAATGACAGTATGAATAACCTTTTGTTATGAAAACGTCAGGGCGACATCTCAAATGAGCAAAAGCAGTTTTCAGACTGACAACACACACATCACGACTAATTTTCCAGTCAGATGCTTACCGCCGGTCAGGTCTACCCATGTGGCATCAGATCGCAGTTTCCACTGAACTGTTCCAGTGTGGAAGGTTTCACTACTTGCTCTGACGGATACGCTATCTACTTTCAGGCCAACTGACCCAGACTCAAACTTCCAGGAAATATATGCAGAGGGTGATCCTTCCTTTCGGGCTAAATACACCTATGAAGAAGCGGAGGAGGAAGGAATCATCAGTGCAAAGTCTTTCTGCTACACTGTATCATGTCCAAGTTAAAAACCAGTTTTTCCCCATGGACACAGATTCTTGCTGGGGCCAGTATTGTGGCACAGCAGGTTGAGCAGCAGCCTGTGATGGTGGCATCCCATATGGGTGCCAGTCTGAGTCCTGGCTACTCTACTTCCAATTCAGGTACTTGCTAATCCACCTGGGAAGGCAGTGGATGATGGCTCAGGTTCTTGGGCCCGTCACCCACATGGCAGACCTGGATGAAGCTCCTGGCTGGCCCAGTCCTGCCCACTGCAGCCACTGGGGGAGCGAACCAGTGGATGGAGATCTGTGTCTCTTTGTATGTAACTCTGTCTTTCAAATAAATTAATCTTCACCACCAACAAAAAGATCTTTATTGCTAGTCTTTCATTTCATGAGTAAGTTTTCCTGTTGCATCTTTTGCTCTGGAATAAAGGTTTGTTTTTTTTTTTTAAATTTATTTACTTCAAAGAGTTACAGAGAGGGAGAGACAGAGACACAGAGTGTCGCTCCCCCTCTTCGTGGAGGAACGACACAGGACCCTGCGCTGTTCTTTTTGTCTGCTCGGCCCTCCCCGGGTTTGCTGCTGGTTCTTCCCGGGTTGGCTACTATCCCTTCCACCTCCGTGGAAGGGCAGTTCCCCCTGGCCGCATTCCCCACTTCCGCAGGGGAGCGGCACACCGCCGGCCGGGTCTCTCGGGGGCTGCACGGGTTCCCTTAGATGTTCCCCATAGATGTTCCCCGTGCATGCCGTCTCTCTCCTCCTTTATAGTCCTCCTCCGCCAATCCCAACTCGGCTGAGTACGCTGCTCTCCAATCAGGAGCAAGTCCTACAGTTAATTGGTTGAACTGGAGGCAGCTGTGCGGAAGCTGTTTACTTCTCTCCCAGCGCCATATTGTGGGAGAGCAGATGCATAGAATAAGTCCTAATTCGAGCAACTTAGTCTAGTCCGGATTGCTCCCCACAGATCCCCCTTTCTTTTTATTTTTTGGCGTTGATACGCGCCTGTCTTCGGTGTCCCGCAGCACACACTCTGCTGTACTTGCTAGAGTTGCCACAGGCTCTTACAAGTCCTATCAATCAGGAAAACCGAATCCGGGTCCTCTCTTCGCCATTGTGAGGAGGTTTTTAGGCGCTGATGCGTGCCTGTGTTCGGTGCCCTGCAGCGCATGCTCTACTCTGCTAGAACTGCCTGCAGGTGTTTACAAAACCTATCAGGCAAACCGAATCCAAGCCTTCTCATTGCCGTATTGTGGGGGAGACTTATTAGTGTTGGTTCGTGCCTATCTTCGGTGACCTGCAGCTCATACTCTGGTCGAGCTTTGCTGGCGCTTACCGCCTTAAATCAGGCAGACCGAATCCAAGCCTCCTAATTGTTGCATTGTGGGGAAGCTTTACTGATGTTAATTCGTGCTTGTCTTCGATGACCTGAGGCTAGCCGCCCAGGTGCTCATCGCCTCACTAATTGGGCAGACCGAATCCAAGCCTTCTAATTGGCATGTTGAGGGGAGGCCTTATTTTTCTCTATTTCTCTATCTCCGGGCATTCCTATTTCTCCCATTTTACTTCTATCTTCCAGCATTCCTATTTCTCTCACTTTACTTCTAAAACTTCTGTTTCTCTTATCCCCGCAGCTTCCCGGCACCTCGCCCCGCCGGCGGGTTCCCGGCTCTGCGCCGCTTCAGCCCGCGCGCCTCTCTCATCTGCGCAGCTTCCCGGCTTTGCGCGCTCCGCGGTCTCCACGCTTAACCCTTTCGCGTCTGAACCACGGCCTACGCCAGCGTTCCCTATCTATTCACGCCCCGTGCTCTCTCTGCACGCGGCGGCTTCCGCGAGTAACACAGCGTAGCTTGCGTCTCCGCCACTAGGATTCAATCCAAGTTCCCCGGGCTAGCCTGGCGAATTCAACCCAGCGTACGTCTCCGCCCCACGGTTTGGCTTCCCGTCCTTTGCTCCCCGGGCTAATCAGACGGATCCCAATCTGGCTTACGTCTCAGCTTCTAGTTTCAACTTTTCGCCCCCTATTCCCGGGCTAACTTGAGAATCCCAAAGTGGCTTTCGTTTCCGCCTTGGCCTGCCCCCCGCGGCTTCAATTTCCCTAACATTTTTCTCTACCCGGTATGTTTCCCCAAGCTTTCCTCCAACGATATTCCTCCCTCATTTCTCCTGGCCTCTCCCCACAGTCCGCGTCCGAATCTGTTTGTTCTAGCTTTCACTTTCGCTTTCGACCTTAGAGATTTCTCCCAGCTTCCCCCCGTAGTCCGTATCCGAGTCTATGCCTAGGCTTTCAATAGCTTCTTCCGGCACCCTTTTCGTCCGGCTTTTCCCTAGGCTGTTTGCTAGTCTCTCTCTCCGGTATTTTCCCTAGGCTGTTTGCTAGTCTCTCTCTCCGATATTTTCCCAATTCTTCCCGTTTCTTCCCTCCTAAGTTTGCTATCCGTCCTAGGTTTCCTATCCGTTCTAGGTTTCCTATCCGAGCTAGGTTTCCTATCCGAGTCACGGCACCATTATGTCGCTCCCCCTCTTCGTGGAGGAACGACACAGGACCCTGCGCTGTTCTTTTTGTCTGCTCGGCCCTCCCCGGGTTTGCTGCTGGTTCTTCCCGGGTTGGCTACTATCCCTTCCACCTCCGTGGAAGGGCAGTTCCCCCTGGCCGCATTCCCCACTTCCGCAGGGGAGCGGCACACCGCCGGCCGGGTCTCTCGGGGGCTGCACGGGTTCCCTTAGATGTTCCCCATAGATGTTCCCCGTGCATGCCGTCTCTCTCCTCCTTTATAGTCCTCCTCCGCCAATCCCAACTCGGCTGAGTACGCTGCTCTCCAATCAGGAGCAAGTCCTACAGTTAATTGGTTGAACTGGAGGCAGCTGTGCGGAAGCTGTTTACTTCTCTCCCAGCGCCATATTGTGGGAGAGCAGATGCATAGAATAAGTCCTAATTCGAGCAACTTAGTCTAGTCCGGATTGCTCCCCACACAGAGAGAGACAGAGAGAGGAGTGGGTACAGGTGTCTTATATCCACTGGATCACTCCTCAAATGGCCAGGGCTGGGCCAGGCTGAAGCCAGGAACCGTTAGCTTCTTCCAGGTCTCCCATGTAGGTGGCAGGGGCCCAAGTACTTGGGCCATCTTCCACTGCATTCCCAGGTGTGTTAGCAGGGCAATGGATCAGACACGAAACAGATGGGACATGAACTGGCGCCCATATGGGACACCTGCATCACAGGCAGTGGCTGTACTCACTATACCACAAAACCGCCCCCAGGTGTTCTTTGAATGCTGATGTCCCAGAGCATGCAGCTCTAAAGGACTGTATGTTAACCAAATGTTGGTCAATCACATTCCTTCACATTAACAAACTCAGTTATTTTAAATGAACTTTATGATAAATTCTGTTACAAGTGAGGAATGCAACTACTCTCTTCTTCTTGAAGTCTGGACTCTTAAACAAGCTTTCCTAGAGCGAGACAGGCATAGCCTCTAAGTGAAGAAAGCACCTAATCATTACCGACCACTGACAGAAGCGAACACCCACACCACCCCGAGTTGTACGTTCCTTGCTCCTTCATCACCTTGTCTCCCGGGACACCATCTAAGGCATCCAAGTCCACTGGGTGCTTCCAGCTCCCCCCTTCCAAGTTTCATCTCGCTCAGGATGTTGGCATGAAAGCAGGTACCTACAGCCTTGGTTGTACACAGGGAGCAACACTCACTCAGGTTTAGACCCCCTAATAACTGACTCTTAAAACATTTACCCCTTATGTCCAAACTCCTATAAACATCCATGTATTTTTTGAAGTAAGTCTTGGAAAAAAATCTTCAGTTATACTTTGTTCGTTACTATAGTTTTATGACTTTACACTTGTCTTTCTGTAACTGCCTAACACTGCTCAATTCCAATCACTATGATGGATGTTCTCATTTTTTAGATTTGTTTTTATTTTTTAGATTTATTTGCATATTCATTTGAAAAGCAGATGGACAAAGAGAGAGGCTATATATATATATATATTGCGAGAGAGAGAGAGAGAGAGAGAGAGAGAGAAATCTTCACCGGCTGGTTCAATCCCCAAAAGTCTGCAACAGTCACGGCTAAGCCAGGCCAAAGACAGGAGCTTGGAACTCCACCTTGGTCTTTCTCCTACATGGGTGGCAGGGGCCCAAGTACTTGAGCCATCTTCTGCTGCTTTCCCAGGCATACTAACAGGAATTTGGATAGGAAGACAGGATATGGGATGCTAGTGTGACAAGCAGCAACTTAAACCTCTGTGCCACAACAATGCCCCAGTCAATGTTTTCAAAATCCCACTTTCTTTATGTCACCTACTTGGTCCAGAATGGAGAGCAAGTACCTGGTTCTTACATTAAGTCTAAGTTCTTAGCTTTCAAAGTTCTCCACAATCCATCCCACCTTGAACTACCTATGTGCTCTTACCTAAGTCTAACTATTTTTATGAATATTCACATGCATTTGTCTGACCTAACTTAACCAAATCATAGAGGCTCTTGTTCCATAATGAAGTTTCATAAATGTATTAATTAAGTATGAAAAGTTTGGAAGCAAATGTGTTCACTCAAGTCAGAGTTGATTCTTTTAGAAACACAGACTCCCAGTTCTCAGGGGCAAACAGCTGGAAGTGTTTTGTAAAATACACCTGCAATGAAAAGGTCCCACTACATGGACTATTCCATATTCTAATCTTTATGCTGCAAGCAAAACAGCAGTCATTGCTAGCATTCTAGTCACTATTTGGCAATTGACAGCTCTTTTTCTTCCATGTTCATTATGCCTGTTAGTTTAAGTTCAAAGTTTTTAGAATCAGTGAGTTGGAGATTCTGTAATTGAATAATCACTCTCTAATGAGGATGATCTTGAACTCCTCAGTAATGCGCATGTACAGCCAACCGTTGTTAGCTGACACACCTAGATACGTGGACCTGTCAAATGGTCTGCTCA